TTATATGAAGATGCTTCATAATGTATAAATAAGTTTGTAAAGGTATACAAACATACATATATGTATTTGTTCATTTAAATATATATATATATATTATATATATATATATATATATATAGATATTATGTATTTGTATATTTAAAACATATTTATATGCATTTTATACATATTAAAAACCTATATATATATATATATATATATATATAATATATATATATATATATAATTTTTAAATATATAAACACATATAAATAAGTTTTTAAAACATTAAAATATACATATATATTTTCAGTTTTTGTAAATATGTTTTTAACATGTATAAAAACATATAAGTATATTTTTAATGTATAAATAAGTTTTTATATGTTCTTTTATAAATATAAGTGATGTTTTTTATACGTATAATGTTTTTATTTGAAAAAGTACATATTCAAATGATAAAATACACATATAATATGTATTTATACATAACATTTTTTATACATATTTATATATAACGTTTTCATACATTTTTTTATATATTATTTACGTATAAAAACGTTTTTATACTTAATGTTATAGATAAATATACTAAATATGTTTAATATATATAGATATATATATATATATATATATATATATATATATATTATATATATATATATATATTGGCTTAGTTATGTTTAAAAGCATATTTATATGTGTTTATACATTTAAAAAATCATATTTATATTTATTTATATGTTTTTAAAATGTATACATACATATAAGTACATATAAATTAGCTTTAAAAAATATTTTATACATTTAAAAACATATTTATATATCTAAAAATATACTTTTTATATATTGAAAAAAGTATTGATAATTATATGTATAATTTCAACTAGAGAAGAATCCCCCTCCCCCCCCCCGCGGTTGGGGGTTGAAGGATATCCCTTTGTAAAGTATGTTGTTGAACTGTTTAAAGTACTTGGTTTAACTTTTTATAAATGAGACTGAGTAATAAGTGTTGCTATACACCAAAGTACACTACTCAAATACACTAAGAACATATATCATACATGAGTTACCAGACACTTCTCCAAGACCATCAAATCATCCCATATTGTTGTCTGTAAATTCACAAAATTGAGGTGAAAACATAAGAACAAAGAAACCTTATGACTTGTATCCTATATTCGGAAGTAACAATCTGAAGTCTCAACATAGAATGCATACATATACTTACTTGTACATGGTTAATAATCAGGAAATTAGCCCCACAGCCAGTTCAATACCCTTTTTCTTTTATAAATGAATCAACTTTTAACCTACTCAAGAACAAAGATTCAAAAATTATTACAATCTCACAAGACAATATATGTTAAGCTGCAAAAATGATGTTTTACATGAAGAAAGAAATTATAGCGAACATCATAATGTGTTATATGAAATGATATCAAACAAAGATTTGGAATGTGAAAAAATAGACTTAATTCCTACAATTTTAGAAATTTTTTGATTTTTTTTTCAATTCGCCTCAGAATGGCATTATAAACAAATAAAAATAAATAAGCAACAGAATTGAAGGACACCTTCAATCAAAATCTGAAGATGCCAATCAAAACCCATAATTGTAACTTTTTCATCAGTATCACTTCATCACAAATTTTTAGGATTCCTCAATAAATTAATAACAATAGAAAAAGTACCTCGACAAATAGCACAATAGCACCTTCAATCGAATATTTTCCTTATTTCCTTGTAATCTACTGCTCTCATTTATCCCCCAGAAAAAAGAATTCAAACATATATAAGCTAAAGAAAGAACTAAATGATAGAATTGAACATTTGTAAATAAAAAAAGAACCAAATAAGAAAAATGAATCTGAAACACATAAATTATGAACAATATCCCACTTTTAAGATCAGACAAAACCTGAAAAATGATAAAGGCATGACAGAAAAGAGACACATCATAACCGTGACATTAGAAGCTTACCTGGTGGCCACATGGTGTCACAAAAACTTCATTTTGAAGAGGAATGTCAATTAATGGCCACTTTGAACAGATGAAAGAGCTTTTAACACCAGCATAAGAAACATATATGAAGAAAATTACCTTCAATCTCCCATTCATCAAACAAACCAAACGTGATTTGAGGTCAACAACCATATATCATGCCATAATATTGATCCCCATAAGTACATGTGACACAAATCTATCATAAATCATCAAAAGCAAAGAAATTTACCGGATTGACTTAAACCTTCATAAAGTTTTCCCACAAAAATTATGGTCTACTTTCAATATAAACTCGTAAAAAGATTGAATTACAACTACTTTTATGCCAAAATTTTGGAGTTTCAAGATTAGATATGATCTTATCTATAGCTCAATTGTCCTAAAAGGCTAAAACAATGTCATAACATTGGAATCTTTTGAGTTTAAAGTAGCACAAAAGGATGGCTTACATGTATTAACCAATACGCCCTTATTGGCTGGAACAGGAATGGGATCAGCTTCGTTCTTCTTCTGTCTTTTTATCCAAAAGATAAGCTTCAATGAAATTTGTATCAGAATCCTCCTCCTGTTCAAACTACAACATGATATAAATTCATTATAATAACCAAAAAACAAAAGAAATTGAGATGAAGTTGGTTCAGAATAAACACTAAAACCAAAAGATATTGCAGCAAAGTCGGTGTAATTTACCTACTCGATCTCTGTTCTATTTCGACATATTTGTACAGCAACAACAACAGGGGTAAGAAATTTTTTGTTTTCTGTGCACAACAGATCACAATTCCACCAATGATTTTCCGATTATCCAACCACTTACACCGACACGCGTCTCTGGTACAACTGAAGATGTCTCTGTTGCAACTGAGGTCGTCTCGGGTATGACCGAAGGTATCCACGTAGCGGAGGGGACCATAAAGCCCTAATACAAAAAAGCAAGAAGAAATTATAACCCTCAATATGGGAAACACGGGGGAATCGGAGAAGGAGAAACAGACGACGACGTTGCTTAAGGGCATGTTAAAAAACCAAAATCAGGTGTCCGATTCACCAACCCCATAGTAGTTGGAAACCCAGATAAACAAAATAGGCGGTGGATCCGCCGTTGGCTGGGCCGACGTGCCGCTTTGTTGTCCTTCGGTCTGTGACTGTTTCGCCTGAACCCTAGAATCGAAAAACATTAGAAGAATAGTAACATCGATTTAGGCCAGAAACATCAACTGGTGGCATTGGCGATGAACATCGACCTCTGCCTCTGGTATTGTAGATGGAAGTGGGAAGAAAAACGAAGGCGGTGAAAAGAAGAATAGAGATATGAGGCGGTAGAAGATTGGAAACAACGACAACAAACCCAACCCTAATTGAGGGAATCGGGAATGGAAAACGGGAAGCCACCGGAGGACGACGACGGATATGAGAGGAGGTGAAAGGAGCGATAATAGGGTTTTTGAATAGACGGTGGGAGAGGGGTATTCGAGGAAGGAGTGAATAAGTTATGGAAGGGAATGAAAGTGAAAAGGTGCCGGTTAGTCGGTGGAAGACCAGAAATCTGTAGAAGAAACAACACGTGTGAGCAACGTGTAAAGAAACGTGATGACAATGCAACACCACATTTATTCAGCCAATACAGATAAAAATAGATAAATATCAAAAAGCAAAACAGAAAAAAAAAAAAAGAAATTCCAACCAATGACAGCAAAGTACTGTTGGATTGGGAACCCTACTTTAATATATTTTTATAAGAATAGTATTAATAATATTCATAGCAACAATAATAATAATAATAATAATAATAATATAATAATAATAATAATAATAATAACATTATTATTATTATTATTATTATATATATATTAAAATTGTGGAGAAAATGAATAGTTAACTTGACACATTTTGTCCAGCTTTGGTCCCTTGAATTACATTTCCGGTCCCTCTATATTTGTTTGTATGTCACTTCTTTAATTTATTAATTAAGGAAATGAATCTTAGCAATACTGAACTGAGGTATTATTTGGCAAAAATGGTCCCTTGATTATAGGTTACGTTTACTGGGCATTTTATGGAAATATTTAGATTCTTACGCTTCCCGATCCTTCCGACCGCATCCTTATCAAATATCTTCAGGCATCCGCTATATTCTGGATCCTTCCTTATTCCACTGTCCCAGAAACCATATTCTCTTGATCGTTCCTTTTGGGATAGTCACGTTTAGTCCACCGCCATACTATCCTCTGCTTCTTCTTGGCTCCCTCCACCTCCTGCTTCTACCGTCGGTCTAATTGGCAATCGTCGGCTACCGATTGAAGTTCCATCGGATGAATACATTCTTCACTTCGGAACCCTAGAAGGTATCAAGGAATCCGTGTTCTGGAAAACCTTATGAATACTCGATTTCGGTAGCTTCGATTTGATTTATATTTTCCTGTCGATCTTCACCTTTCTCTATCCCTCTCGACCAACGTCTTTGCTTCCGTCTGGCAGCAGAAAAGAGAAACAGCAAGAACGGAGGTTCCTCCTTCAAGTAGAAAGCGATTCGAGGTTTGATTTTTTTTTTCAAATAGACGCTTCTCAACTCGATTATTGATTTTCTTTTTTCGCTTATACTTCTAGGAATTTCGTTTCTGCCCAACAAACCTCTAAATTGTTCATTACGTTTCTTGATAAAGTAAGTGATTTGACTGATTTCAACTCATGTAATGAGGTAATTCCTATTTTTTTTTGGTTACTCATCCCTCACGTCTCTTTTCCGATTCTAAGAAGCTCATCAAACAAATTGAGAATGACAACTTACAGTTGTTGTAGAAACTCAGAAAAGTTTATAATATCTTTTTTTATTTCATGTTGTCGATTTGCTTTAGATTTATTGGGTTTTTGTGAAATCAGATGGTTTGGGTGTTGATTTTGGGTAGGTAATTGTTGAAAGGAAGAGATAGAGGGATCATTGGTCAATTCGGTTTCACTGTTTCGCCCACCGTCTGCTCAAGGTGAGGATAATCTTTACCGTCGGTTTGTTGTTATGGAAGAAACACCGAGAACTGGAGCCAATTCTAGGTATCGTGTCTCTTTTTCAAAGTCTACACTTACTGGTCAGTCTTCTTGCCTTCTCTATTTCTTCCTTGATAATCTCTATAGTTTTTTTCTTTTCTAATGTCACAACTCATGGAAGCCTCACGAATATATAGTTATGTTACAAAGTAAACTCTTGATGATGAGGTGAAATATTATTTGTAGGTACATACAATGGAGTCTATAAGACAGAGGTCATTGTTTCCCAGTCTCATGAAATGGTAATTTGAGAGACATAAAGTAATGAGAATTATAGGTACCGATTATGTATTGATATTTTTAATAAAGGATGTATGATTTGTAATGTTCTTTTTAATTTTAGTATTCAAGCATTTCAACCGTACGTTTGATATTAATTTTGTATTTTTTGTTATCACCAGTTTCCTTTATGATCATAAATGGATATGTTCAAGGGCATCTAAGTCATTAAGGTAAAAGTCATTTAGTGAAATATTGCAATTCTGGTGTGAATGAGAAATAATTGAAATGGTGTTTGATCATTTACCTGAAAGTTAACAATTTCTATCAGGGAAAAATGTGGCAATCATTGTCAGGGTAATATGGTCATTTACCTAAAGGTCAACAATATCTATCGGTGTCAAATACTGCAATTATTCATAAGATTTTCTTTGATTCGAAGGGTATTTTGGTCATTTAGCTAAAATATGCATACCCTTCAACTTGATTTTGTATTTGCCTATCAGACTTATTTTTTACTTTCTGATGTATGGTATAAATATCATTGGTCTATCGGTAATACCACAAAACAGAAGAGATATGCATTCGTACGGAGAGATTAAGAATCACATTTGCTCCAGTAATTACCACTTGATAATCTAATTAGTTTACGTTGTATAAATTTTTAAATTTTCCTGTCTGACATTTTAATTCTGGTAATGTAGGGGTATACAGATGGGCATCTAGCATTGCTGCATGTTAGCAATAATTCATTGATTGCAGATGATTATTATGTGGGGTAAGGTGCTATACGTTGATCTTAAATGCTTTATTAGATATTCAGATCTAATCCAAGTAAAGAAATTGTATACAAGAACCGTAGTCTATGCTCATTGAGTTCAGTATACTGTATACTCAGATAAAACCTCAACTTATTTTAAATTCAAATAATGTCCTATTTTTTATTGATTAATCCACTATTAGACCATTTGACTATTTTTACCGATTAAAAAACCATTATTTTTGGTTTTGAAAAAGGACAAAATATAGAAAAAACCACAATCTATATTGGTTGATACAAAAATGCTTTAAGTAGGCTTTTCATTTTCACAAACTCTACTAATGAAAGAAATTACACATGTTTCATGAAAAGGATGTGTTGGATTTGGAGTTGTCAACTGATGGCACACTTCTCATATGTATATTTGTTTAACTTTGTGTTTTTGTTTTTTGTTTTTTCTTCAGGATCTTTGCAGTAGATTCTAGCTGCTCATTTCCATTATGTTCATAGACAGGTATTTTTATATCATTTTAGAGGGCATTTTAGTCAGCAAATATCATTGCTTAGTAAGGCTGTGTAGAAGTCAAATATAGCAACGATTGGAGAATCATTTCCAAACATACATATGATTATTCATGCATGAAAAATATATATAGTAAAAGTTACCAGTGATATCTATAAATCCTAAATCACAACCCTTTATTATAGATAATCTTTTTTTAATGTATTTTGCAGGTCAATCACATAAAGTTCCTATTCTTTGTGTTCATGTATCCAAAATTTTTTGGTTTTCTGTGAATTTACTTCTTCGCGCATTCTTTTTAATTTATGAGCTTTGGAGTTTTGTATTTACAACTCTTTCTATGTTGTAGTGCTGTCCGGAGAAGCTTTCTATGTTTACGAGTTCAGCAAAGGACGATTGTGTAAATATTTGGGAATATTGACAGGATTATGCTATTAGGTATTACCTGTTATTTATTTCAACTTTATGGACCACTTCCACGCGTATGTGCAGCAGCCCTGTTATTTATTTCAACTTTATGGACCATTTTTCCATCCATCATCTTTCTTAAAGGTAATGGAAAGGGTGATATATTGGTCTAGGTAGTTCTACTTTAATTAATTAAAATTGCTATAACTTGCAATTCAGTACACATGAGTCCTAAATTTTTACATATTTTCCTTCCTTTTCCATTAATCTAATTGCAAGTTATAGCAACTTACTTCCATTTTTTATTAAAGAATTCTACTTTAATTAATTAAAATTGAAACCTTTGACTATAAATTGGTTTCTTATTAAGACATTCTATTATGGAAAATCTACCACATATAGCATTGTACTTCAAAAATATACTAGAAAATGTGACCTAAAAGGGATGCAGACTTCAAGAAGAGGGAGTCAAACTCTAACTCGAAAAGAGTCATAAGGACAAATATGGTATTTTGTCTATTTAAGGATTGTTGATTGTCAAGGACTATGATAGAAAAATGTGTTTTTTTTACCTTTGCTTTTGTCATTCTTTATTAAATTTGATGTTAATTGTCGTTGATGTGTCTTCCTACTTTGAGTTCTATCTGCTACAAGTTTACAACCAATTTGCTTCTATTCTTTTTGTTATTAAATCATTGTTCTTTGAAACTCTATACCTACTCATGTGCTGTTGCACCAGATCTTTAAGGAAATCGGAGAAGATTTGTCTACATGAAAATGTGTGCTTGCGAATCCATTTTGTAAGTTACGTATGAAGGGAATTAAGTTACTTTCAAAATATCATGATCCATGATTAATACGATGTGCATGTTTTGATATGGAGTTTGTGTGTATGCATGTAGGTCCAGATGATATGTCTGTACACATTCACTCATCAATGTTTGGTTGTGCTCACGTACGGATGAATATTGTAACAATGAAGATATATATGAGGAAACCATACTGCTTTTAACAATTTTTTTTTAGAAACAGAATATTGCTTTTGACACTTTATTTGCTACTGCATGAATTTAATCGGTTTTTGACCACAAACCAATATAATTCTAAATCCAACAACAAAACTTCCGCCCCATGCGATGGGCATCCTTCTGGTTATTATTATTATTATTATTATTATTATTATTATTAATTATATTATATATATTAAAATTATCCATCCGCTACAGTAAATTTGCTTCTAATTTGTCTGTTATTCCCCTTCTACTCTGATCTCTTTGTCAATGGTCCCGAATTTATTTTTTCTTTGTTCAATTTAGTCTTTTGTGTCTGGTCTTTGCAGTGGGCATTTTATGTTATTTTCTATAATGTTGGTGTGCACGTGTTGTTCTGCATTTCTTCACCGCTTACTCATCCAATCCGAGTCGGATTAGTTGTACGTCTTCTCCTCCCCTTTCTTCTCATCCAGAAATACCCACAAAGACGTTTGTTGCTACCGGGCCAGCAGACGACCTCCTCCACACATGTGCTTAGCGTCTTCACCACCACCATCAGCCTACCATGGCTCTTCCGTTGGGGTTCGGATTATTCATTGAGATGTTGGATAAGATCGATAGGGAAGAGGGAGAAGCAACAACACACGTCGGCTGCGACGTAGTCGAAGCTTGAAGATAATAGCAAAGCGGACATACCGTCTGCCTCCTCCTCTATTGCCTGAAATCATATATTTAAGAAACTATAAGGCGGTGATGTTCTCTGGAAAGCCCAATCCCCCACAAAAACTCTTTTTTATTTATCCCTTGCCTCTTTCGTTGTGGTCTTCAGGCTGTCATCATCGAAAATTTATCGCGCTACGACCTCTGTTCCACCGCTATGAGCTCCAATCACAAAAATCCAGGTTTTGTCGTTACCTACTCTAATCGATTGGGGGTTTATTCCGTTCAGTTGAATTTATTACGTTTATTCTCACCTCTGATCAAAAGTCGTCGCCTTCGTCGCCATATGGTTTTCACTAATTCCCTTATCTCTTCCTCATTATTTTTACAGGTATGTTTACAAAGCAGACGATTTGAATGTATTTGTGTCATATATTTATGAATCTTTGTGTATTTGTGTGCATAGTTGTATGTAAATGTGTGTATGTGTGTTTGTATCAATTTTATGAAATTTATTTTAAATTCATGTTCTTTGTATCATGTGAACCTGATAACCATGAAAGGAGCAAGATTGTTAGTAAGTTGACTAAATGGTCATTGGCACTGTGTGTACTGAATGACAGCTCTAGCTTTCAAAACAGGTATGTTCATTCATTTCTTTTCTTTTTAGTTGTTTTTTGGATTTTATAACCTTAGATTTGCTAATTTATTGCCAGATTAATAAAAAAATGGGGTTACTGTTGTTTTCTTTACAGGTTTACAAAACATGCACACCAAACGTTTGATGATATGCCTCAAAGAAAGTTTGACCCAAGTTTAGTACACTCATTTCTCAATATGTATCAATTTGGCTTTCCAAACTTTCTTTGGTTGTTTTTTGTTATTTCGAATTTATTTTAGTAGTTATGAGATTATACCTTGTGGCTATTCGCTTGGGAACTGAAACTCATTTCAGCAGACCTAGAAAGAAGATCTCCAAAAAACTAACTTTTATTTTTATTTCATCAGACTTGGAATCAAAAATCTTTTTGTCACCTAAAGTTCGCTACGAATGCTCGGTCGTTGCTTTGTATCACCTCCCTCCCCTGGTATGGGTTTTTATTTACTATTCACAAATGATATGTGGGATTCTAATATATGGTGAGCTATGAATCTGTTGACATGTTTGTATGCTATCTGATTTTAGTCTACTACAAACATTCTTCTATATGCTATCTGTTTTTTTTTTGAATAAAAATACAGGGCCATCAGGAAGAAGTAGAACAAATTGTATGTGCTTTTTTTGTGCTGTGTTATTTGACACCAGAAACTTATAGTGAGGCATTCACTAGATTTTAATGTTTCAAATGGACGATGCAGCATAAGTAGAAGAACAATGGTTAGTTCTAATTTCTATGTCCTGACTTGCAACTAGATTTCTGATTTTCTTTATACAATTGTTTATTTACTTCATGTTTTCCCTAACGATTCTTCTTATTTTTGTTTTTACAACTGTATTTCAACTTGCAACTCAAAAGTCGGCGATTTTATTTCAAAAATAAGAATAAAAAATGCATTGCATTGACAAAATAATGAATTTAACTTTTCTTAAGAAAAAAGACATTTCGGAAAACCGGTTTTTACATCCTTATAATTCAGTTAACAAACTGATAAAATGGTGAAAATGCTATCAACCGAAACAACATTTTTAATATTTTTACTCAAAAAACTTTAAGTTTCCCAGTTGAAATACTATTTTAGATATCGAAAAAAAAAAAAATAATCGTTCCACTAGCAGTACAACAATTGAGAGTGGACTGGGAAATTAAATGGGCAGCAGTACAATAATGGAAGTTGGGACGGGAATGACCCATGCTGTTTATCTTAATGTAATGGTTTTCTTTGAATAACAAAAAATGTGTTTTGCCTTTATATTTTCAATCCAAATGGGCACAATGAAGCGTATTGGGCTAAGGCTATGATGCGACTCACATATACATCAGGTATGTTATCTTGCTGTTATGAAATTCTTTTTAATTGTTTAATTAATCACATTTATGTATGTTTTATATGTGTGTCATTGTGTTTGGATGTAGCTTGTATATATTAAAGTAGGACACCCCTTAGGAACAGTAAAGTTCCTAAGGTTTTGGCAAAAGTGGTCCCTATTTATGTCAATGTGTTCATTTCCGTCTATTTTATGTTTTGTCTTTGCAGTAGGTTCTTTTGTGTCAATATCTATATTGTTCGTGGCCACGTGTTTTTCTGATCCAGTCAAATTCGGATTTATGTACATGGTGACTGCACCCACCCTTTTCTATCCAGTATATTCCACAATCCCAGAAACCCACCGCCTGCATCTCAATCCTTCCTTAACCCTCTGTGAGTGTTTCTCTCTGTAGAAGTGATTCAGCACTACCATCACCACTGTCTGCTCCAAACACTACACCGACTCATTATGCTCACTCTTCGACCTCTCACCACCTCTTTCCAAGCCATTTGTCTTAGTGAAGATGTTCATAAATACTGCAGATGTCGCCTGCTTATCGCCATCCACCTCCACCACCACCACCACCACCACCATCGCCGCCGACATCATCGCATCTCCTCTATTAAAATCTAGAATTTCCATCAACAAATCCAAAGAGGTAAGGTTTTTTTATAACTTTGTTACATCCTAAATATCATAAAGGGGTGTTATGTTTCTTTCTTTTTCTAGGGTTTATGTATTCTTTCTGCTTGATTTCGCAAGAGTGATGGTTTTTGGTGTCGATTGTGGTGGTTGTAGGCTGGTGAAAAGGAGCGACATAATTATGTGTTACGATGTCTGTCTTTCCCCTACAAACCATATGGGTTTGCTCCTTTATTACCTTCTACCAGGATTCAACTGTTGATTTCTATTGTACACTTTCATACTCACAAATATTTTGTCGGGAAGTTATTTTAATTTATTGACAGGTTTTGCAGGTATGAGGTCCATAAAATGGTTAATTGAATGCAACTTTAGACCTACATGGGATGTTTAGGTGTTTTAACGTGAGAGCATATTTTTGACCTATTAAGATTATTAGCTAATTTCTTATATCTAATTCTCTATTCTGTACATATCTTACTCCATTTGGACATCATTTTACAACAAGTTATTCGTCTGGCTTATTTTCTTTACAGATTTAGTGCAGGGGAATGGCTTTCCATTAATTTTGAAGACATTGTTATGCCTTCTTTAATTGCAGTAACCAGAAACCGATAAGTTTCTTGCTATAACTTGAGTAAAACACAATTTTATTGTTAACGTATATGCAAGATTTAATAAAAAAAGTGACATTTTGTACTTAACTATTCCATACCTGAATTTTTTTATGTTATAGGTTTGTTAATTCATTTATGGTTGTTTTTTTTGCATATATTTCAATTGGATTTTCTGCTAATCAATTTGTATGTGGATTTTTGTTAATCTTTTTTTCCCTTTATGTCATCTTATTATCTTCAAATTGTTACTCCGGTATAAATACAAGGAAATCTGATATTAGGTCCACTGACTGGATATTTTCCTGCATAAGGTGTGGATTTTAAGATTGACTGATAAATAAAACCACATTTCTCACCACAGAAGAAATGTTGTATTTTGTTTGGTGAATGTATAGACCCTGGACTTTTGTTCTGTAGCTCAAACAAGCTTCAAGTCTTGAACTATATGTACATAGCTGGAACAGTAATAATGCTTTGTAAATTAGATAATACTTGCAACAATACAAATAAACTTTTCACCGAATGCTTCTAACCCCCCGCAAAGCGGGGGCACTTATCTAGTTGTTATTATTATTATTATTATTATTATTATTATTATTACTAATAATAATAATAATAATAATAATAATAATAATAATAATATTTAAATTCCATCAGTGTTATACATTATAACGAAATATCAAGCTATAAACACGTAAAAGATTCTCTAGCCTAGTGGTAAACGTGTTTGTTTGTGTGTCGGATGTGCCAGGTTTGATTCTTGCAGCCTCTATTTCTCACCCTTTTTTCGTATTTTTTTAAAGTAAAGTCACATTGTGATGTGGCAGTCCACATCATCGCCATGTCAGCCCAATTAATCCAATCAGCGTCGACCTGGCGTTGCTACGTGTGTAGACAATTGACTTGTAACCGGCCAACCCCCTAAAAGGGTTTTTTTTTTAAAACGCAAGTTTGAGGCTTTAGTGAACCCAACATACATAAAAGGGTAAAAACGAATATTTCGTGAAAACTTAAGGTCTTTTATGGCATTAGCCATATGCTAATTAAGGCATTATACTTTAGATCTTGATGTTACCCGATAGCGCTCGAGTGGAAGAAGGATAGTATGTTGACAATATCTTGGCGATTAATGCCCATATTGTTGAAAGTACATTGTGTCACGCCGCACAGTGGCATCCATCTTGCCCTTGGTGTGCTTCGTCATATTACGCATGGTGAATAAGTCGGGTACATGTATTTTACTTTGGTAGAGACTGGTGATCCGGAAACCAAAATCCAACATGACACTCGTAAACTTGGCATATAACTTTTGGGAACTCTTAGAAAGTTCAAGATGAAGTTCTTTATTATAAAGTATATGCGGTGGAATGGTATAATTCTATAAAATACCACTTTTCATGTAACATCCTGTTCTGAGACGTTTCTTAATTCAGCATTGTGGACCGTAATTCGATCATGTAAAGGCTTTGAGATTTGAGGAAATTAATTTTAGACCTTATTAATATTGATAATATTGATCATGATACATAAGCCCTTGATTTATGTGTTGGAACCAAAGGGTAAAATGGGAAAAGTTATATGTCGGGTTTCTTGCATGGATTATAGTTTTAGTTCGACATGTGTAAAGCCAAAGGTAACTAGATAGGATTGTGTGACTCATCAATCCCTTTCTGTGCATATAAAGAACACCGAAAACAGAGTTGAAACGAAGAAGTTATGGTTGTTTGAAGTTGAATTGGAAATTGGGAATTGTGCCTTACGTTGGGCGTAGGTGTTGAATTCTGTACGCAAGTTTAGTGACCTACGTTCCGTGTACGTTATGCTACGCTGGGCATAGCCACTGCTGACTAAAAGTCTAACCCTAAGGTTTTGAGCCCTATTTAAGGGCTCTAACTTCTTGGAATCCTTCCCATGACTAGCCTCCATCACCTTATATCGTTCCTTTGAAACCCTAACCACCAATTGTGAGTTTTGGAGCTTTTTATAGATTTTTTTGTGCTCTTTGAAGGAAGATAGTTTTTGTAGAATCAAGTGGGAAGCTTCAAGGTGTGTAGATCTGGGATTTTCAAGCCAAAATCTATCTCTGGAAGGTATAAAGCATTCATCTTGATGCTTGTACATGTTATATCTAGTATGTTTATGAATTTTATGCTTTAGTCCCTAGAATCTTGGTCCTTGTTAGTAACACATATGGGTTACTCCAAACCATTTGAATGCCTCCTTCTGATATTTTTGAGGTTATAGAGTCATAAAAATGAGAGTTTGCGCACTCTCATCCATCAATGCATGAGTTCTTGAACAAAAGGTGACAATATGGTCTTAGAGTTTTGTTTTGTGATCAACTTGTCCATGCAAAGGGATAAAGTCAAAGACTTTATCCATTAAGACATTCATTTAGATCAGATCTGAGAGTATGGCATGCTGTATTAAGAGCTTAATAAAAGCTTTTTGGGATCAGGGGCTCTACGTTGGACATAGGCCTCTGTACGCTGAGTGTAGCTCTATGCTGGGCGTAGAATTCTGTACGTTGAGCTTAGCTCTACACTTGGTGTAGATTAAGTGCTACGACGAGCGTAAGTCAAATGCGGGTTAACCATTAACTTTTTGACCGGTTTAACTTTGGGTCAACCATGTTGGGACATAGTTTGAGAGTTTGGCTTGTTGTATTAAGAGCTTAATATAAGTTTTTCGGGATTAATGGCTCTACGTTGGACGTAACCCTCTGTACGCTGAGTGTAGGTCTATGTTGGCGTAGATTTCTATACGATGAGCTTAGCTCTACATTGGGTGTAGATTAGGTGCTACGCTGAGCGTAAGTCAACTGAGGGTTAACCATTGACTTTTTAACCAGTTTGACTTTGGGTCAACCATGTTAGGACTTACTATTGGAATGGAAAGATGGTCTTTTGCCCAAAAGAGGTTTAATTGTGAGCCTAGACCTTCCATGAGTTAGTCATTTCCTTAATTGTTAATTTGGGTTTTATTATGGATATTTTTAGCAAGAGAAGACTTGATACTATCAATTCGATTGGGTGGTTAATCTTGTCTTCAAGATTGAGGTGAGTATTATCACTATATTATGTAGGATGCTAGCTGTCTTTGTGACTCTTGCATTGTATGTTGGGCGGAGCCCATTTATATGTTGGGAGCGGCCCTTTATAAATCTTGGGCAGGGCCCGTTGTGATGGGTGGGGCCCGATATGATGGACGGGGCCTGATATGATGGTCGGCCCTGATATGATGGGTGAGGCCTAATGTTATGTATGGTATGTGGTATTTTGGGGAACTTACTAAGCTTCGTGCTTATAGTTTGTGGTTTTAACATTTTTCAGGTACTTCCAGTTCCAAAGGGAAGGGCACGGCTTGACTGTACAACATCCTCTGATGGCTTTTCCGCACTTATTATATTTGTTTTACTCTGATGTTTGAAAGTTACAATTCACTCTTATTGGTTTTAAAACTAATGGTTGTATGGAATTAATGGTTTAAAAATAAAAAAAATTATCGGTACTTTTGGGACGTTACAAGTTAGTATCAGATCCTTGGTTTGAGGGATTTGACACACTCTCGGGTATGTCTAAACTCAAACTGAGGAATTGGTAGTCTTTTTGAAAAAAAATAATTTTTTATAAAAAGACTTTTACAAAGAAAGGGGTGTGATGTGTGCAATTAGTTGAGCTCAAGTAAGTGATTCCTAGACTACCCATACATTTTGATATGTTATATGTTATGGAATGTTTGCATGCTAGTATAGGGCTAAGAATACCTTCAGGAATTGCATGATAGAGTGGCCTGATTCGTGATGCCTTCTAGCCTAGGAGGAACTGGATGTTTTGTCTTATTTGGAATCTATGTGGGTGGAATTTATTCCTAAGTGTATGTTTAAAAATTGTATACAGTTAGGATAATATAGCCCTAGAATGTCTGATTTATCCTTATTTTCTGTTCCTCGTTTGGTTGTGGGCTTAGGGTGGGATCATTTATTTGACATTTTATTTGATCCCGTATTGTATATAATTTGCATGCATAAGGCAATCGGTAGTGTTGGTAGAAGTTCCTAGCATCGCAGAAGTAAGTGAGTTGGAGGATGCATTTTATGTTTTGTGGCCTGTAGAGTGTTACTGCCCGAATGTTGCTTAATTTGTGTTTTGTGGGACCCATATTGATGTGAGCTAACTATTAAATGAATATGTTAAGTTACATGCTGCAAAGGTTAACTAATTCTAGAATGATTGATTTTGCCTTATTGCGCAACTCTCGTTTGAGTCTAACCGTTGTAGGGTTGGGTCTTTTATTCGAAAGATTATTTAAGTTTTGTTGCATGTATTTATACTCATGAAGTAGTTAGCTGACATTAGTTGGAGTTCTTCAGCAGCTGATGGTAGGGTGAGGTGGGGATCCTAGGAGAGCCTAGGAAGTGCTTTAGTGGGAATGATATGTTGTTTAGCGGGTTTTGAGTATACTAGTTTGAGAATGTAACTTAAAGGATTCGTGATGATTCTTGGGGAAAGTATGGATAGGTGTGGAATGTAGTATTGGGCTCGTACTACTGAAAGCATAGGATCCGTAAGCACAAGATCAGTACTCGAATCAAGGAAAGTCACAGAGATTCTAGGAAGCATGTAGGATGAGGAATTCTTTGGGTATGTTATGATCATTTTTATGGTTGCTTTTCAGTATGGTGATGAGCACCCGTAGAGGAGGTTCTGGTAGGCTCTGGCGCTGAGCTGATTGATGAGAGGATTCGCGAGCTCGTTTCGTCTGAGATCACTTGCGACATTTTAGATGCAACTCATGTGATGTTTGGTACCATCAAGGAGGGGATCATGGAGATGCTGGATGAGCGGCTTGGGGATTTTCTTGTAGAGTTTTCAGCGAGTCAGATTGGGGCGCGAACTCTATCTTTTCGGGAGTTCAAGGATTGTGGAGCCCCAGATTTATTCGGGAAGAATGACCCTTTTGCGAGTAGATGGTGGATTGCTGACATGGAGAATGGTTAGCGAACTAGTTTCTGTACTGAGGGATCAAAGGTGGGTTTGCATCTTTCCTTCTGAGGGATGGAGCCCGTGACTGGTGGGAGGAGGTTGGTCACTCTTTGAGAGATGAGGCCTTGGCGGCCATGTCTTGGCCATAGTTCATCTTGAGATTTAAGGTAAATTTTGCACCAGCCATTGAGGTGCAGCAGTTGGC